CTCTCCCCAGACTATAAACAGGCACACTGCCAGCGCTTGTCTCTCTTCCCTTTGACTGGCCTGTGGATTCGGGGACGGAAGACAGCAGGAATCTCCAGCCCATCACCTGACCTACAGAGTTTGGACCTGCCAGCCTCCCGCACAATCACATGAGCCAATTCCTTGAAATAAGTATCTCTGTCTCTGTCTCTCTCCCACTGGCTCTGTTTCTCTAGAGAACCCTAAGACAGTCACCGTCTCTCTACCAATGGAGTTTAGCACACTAAAACAAAACAAAACAAAAAACCAAACCCATTGCCTTCGAGTGGATTCCGACTCATAGCAACCCTATAGGACAGGGTAGAACTGCCCCATAGAATTTCCAAGGAGTGCCGGGTGGATTTGAACTGCTAACTTTTTGGTTAGCAGCCGTAGCTCTTAACCACTGCGCCACCAGGGTTTCCCTAGCACACTAATTGCTCAATAAATGCTTGTAAGCAAGCACTGTAGGGAGGAAGCAATTCTAACCTGAAGGAAGTCATTGCTAAAAGCTGCACAAGTGCCCGTCGGCAGAGATGCCTAGAGGGAAGGACTGGCCGGTGTCCCTCTGTGGGCAGCAGTCCATGTGTGAGGTCAGCTTTGCTTTGCCTGGCTACTCCGGTCTAGGATCTATTTAGTACTAAGTGGGGGTGTATGTACGTCCTCTGCCCAGTGAGAGCGAGAATCACAGACCCAGCATGGCCTGGGCGGGCCTATAGTTACCCGCATCATTTGCTAATAAGAACCTTCCCCCATAGAGCTGGGGGTTCCCAAGAGCCATGCTAGGAGCCTGGTGCTGGGCTGGGCTCCTTTAGAGGGGTCTTCAGGCCCCAAGACTGAGAGGCTGGAGCACATGGGGAAGCTGGCATGTGATTTCTGCCCGGCTGGTGCTGTGCATGGGGCAGCAGGCCGCCGGGGAGGCAGGGGTGGCGAGGTCCTCGCTGATGGCAGTGCTGTGGCCACCACAGAGGGCTTGCATACAGTCTCCGTCAAATCACCCAAGAGCCTGGAAGTCGTCCAGGCTGGATTGTTAGTCCTATTTGCAGTGAAGAAACAGAGCCGCTCTGCAAGGGACAGTGCCTGGTGTGAGGTCCACTCACCACTCGACCCCCCAGCGCTGTGTCAGGGGTCAGTGAGAAGCTGGCATCCAGGTGGATGTGACAGGATGGAAGCGTGGGGAAGGATCACTTGAGTCCTGGCTCCACCATACACTACTTGTGTGTTTTGAACAAGGTATTATTTTCTGTCCCAGTTTCCTCATCTGGGAAATGGGCTGATCATGAGAAACGAATGAACTGGAATGTGTAAGATCTTGGAGCAGAAACTGCTCGGTAAATGTCGGTCATCACCGTCACCAACAGCCGTGGGCCACGCCACTCGTCTGGCGACTGCCTACCTGGGGCTGCTCTGAACCATCATTCCAGCCCCTCCTCTTCCACCCTCTCGCCTTGGGTGGGTCCCTGGACCCTTGGGAGGGCTTCCTGCCTATCCCTGCCCCAGCGCCATCCCACCTCTCTTTTGCACATTCTGCAGAGAGACAGAGTTCCCTAAAACACCAGCCAAGCTCAGGACCTGTCACGGCCCCCCTGGCCTCTGGATGAAGTCCGACGTCCTCAGTGGCAACAAAGGCACTGAAGGCCCCACCTCTGAGCTCCCCACACACCTCCAACTTCCCCCATCTCCAGAACACGCACCTTGCTCCCCACGCTGGCTGCATTTTGTGTCCTCGTGGCTTGGTTCTGGTTAGCCCTCCTGCCCGAAGGCCCCCCTTCCCTGCAGTGACTCAGAGTCGGGGACACTAAGAGCTGGGAGGACCCCGAGGAGGGCCGTCATTACAAAACAGGCAAATCAAGGCCCAAAGAGAGGACGCCCCATCCAAGGCCTCGTAACAGCTTTGTGGCCTGGTCAGAACTGAGGTCTCCTGACTCTGAGCCCAGGGCTCCTTCTGGCCCCTCACTGCCACCAGCCTCACGGAGGCCTGGCCGCCCCCTCTGCACGCAGTGCCTGGGACAGAAAGGCACTGACAGGGTGAATGGGAAACAGACGTGCAAACAGAGGGGTGATGGGCTCTCCTCACACTGAGCTCTGTGTCCATCCTGAAGTGGGTGGGTCAGTGCCTACGCCGGGCCTGGGGCCACCTGCCTGAGGCTGAGTCTTGGCTTTTCTCCTTAATGGCTGGGAGACCCTCCCATGGGTCAGCCTCAGCTTGCCCATCCGTGCCTGTCCTGCTGTGGCCGAGGTGACCGTGTCCAGCACGGTGGCAGCCCACAGCAAGCTCAGGAAGTCCCATCCCAAACGTCAAGGTCAGGGCCCCACGACCCGACCGTGCCAAGCCCTGGTGTCTCAGGCAGAGCATCTGGCCTGTGTATGTGGGGTTGGAAGGGGCTCCTGACATCTGTCCTCCCAGCCACCGCCCACGTGCCCATTAGCCAGTCCTGGTGATCCATCGGGGCTTGGGCCCGGGTTTGCTGAGTGTCACATGGCCTGGGGTCTGGCCCCCCGAGGCACTGCCACGGCTTCTCTTCCAGAACCCTCTCCTCCCATCCCCGAGTTGGAGAATCATCTCTGCCCTCTGAGTTTACACTTTTGAAAATAAAAACCAGGAAAGGCAAATTCTGCTTTTGCCCTATGACCTGCACCCTCCAGGCAAGGGGACAGCCAGAAGTGACCTCCCGGAGCCTGGAAAGGACAGTCATCTGGCACAAAACACAAAGAGCACCTCAACAAGTCCCGCGGCCCCATGGGCTCAGCTGACAGGGCCGGAGCTTCTCGGACAGGCTCGAGGGCCTGCGCTTTGCCTTCGGTGCCGCCCCATCCGTACTGGAAATTGAGAGTGGAAACTGGCAAACACCGCATTTTGGGGTATCCCTTTCCCCTGAGGCAGCTGTCAAAGCACTTGCTGGACTCCACCGGGCAGGAGCCACAGCTAACAGCAGCAGGGGCCAGAGGGCTGGACGGAAATTCAGTGGGAACAAGCCAACAACAGCTCCCCTTTGTCAAGTTTCTTTTATTAAAATATACCGGACTAATGTTGGTGGGCGCTGAGAGCAGGAACCACCTCCCAGGCCGCCCCCAAGGGGGACGCTTCTGCCATGCAGACATGCGGCCAGTCCGCCCCCGCCCCGCCCAGCGTGGAGACAGGCCCCTCCTGGTCGGACACACAGCAGTCTGGCCCGAGGCCAAGGGGGCAGGGCCTGTGGAGCCCCCTCTCCCGGGGCCTTGGCTCCGTGAGAGGCCGGGCTGGGGTAGGGGGAGATCCCTGAGCCAGGGAAAGCTGACGCCCTCCTGGAGGAGGCAAGAGGGGCCATGTCAGAACAGATGGGTGTCAGTGCAGCTCCGAGGGGGAAGACCACCTGCACATGGGTGCCATGGAGTCCCAAGGCCAAGCCTGGTGGGGTCCCCATGGCCTCCTCCTTCCATTTCCTCTGAGGACCCTACTCCCCCCAGCCAGCTGGCTCGTGCCTTCTGGGGGCCCGGGGGCTCCCAGGGCCGGGCCTGAGCAGAGACGGGGCAGCAGCCGATGGAATGTATCGTGTGGGAATGTTCCCTGGGAAGGCGCCCGCCAGTGCGGAGGGCCACGTTGCCCGGGGCTGGGTTCCTTCCCGAACAGCCTGGGCAGGTGGAAGCAGCTGTTCCTCTCTCCTCCTGGAGGTTTCTGTCAACCTGCAGGAACCTGCGGCCCTCACTGGCTCTGGCTCTGGCTCGGGCTGACACCAGCCTTGTCCCTAGAGCAGAACCAGCCAGCCGCGTCCCCGGGCTTTGTGCTTTTGAGTGTTGGTGAGGTGGGTTGGGCTGGGCTGGGCTGGGCTTCGACACTCCCCACTCTGTGGCACAGACTGGCTCCGTGCTTCTTCCTGGTGGCCAATGGTATCAGGCCTACGGGGATGCCTCAGCCCACCAGGAGGGACTTGCCTCGGGACACTGTCCTTGGCCCCCCTTGTGGGCTGCAGCCCAGCTACTGGGTGCTTGTGCTTTTTGTACAGGGCTGGGGTGAGCCTGTGCAGGGGGGCTCAGCCAAGCTGCTGAGCCAGGGAGACGGGGACCAGGGAAAAGGGAGGGAGAAGCCCCATTCCCAGGCTCTGAGCCCCCCAGGCTCCTGGCTGCCAGCGCCTGAGCCACCAGCCTCCTGCCAGGATGAAGAGGACCTAGGAGTGAGCAAACACTGAGTCTGGAGCCTGAGGGGTGGGGACAGTCCACTCACTGGATTCCCTGAGCCAGGAATGGGGCAGGGAGGGTGTCTCCCTGTCCCAGCAGAAGTGGGAAACAGTCCCCCTCAGATTCTGCACCAAGAAATCCAGTCCCTGAACTTGACATTGTCCCTTCCTCTCAGAGGAGTTCCATGCCCCCCACCGCCTGAGGGAGCCCAACAGTGGGCCTGCCTGAAGCAGGTGAGCTTGCCCAGGCCAGTGAAGCGGCGGGTGCCCCCAGATCCAGGGCAAGCAGCCAGGGAAGACCCTGACTCTGCCTCCGTCACCCCCTCTTCCCTGTCAGACCTGCCCTGGTCCCCGATCTGCCCCTCCAGGGTCCTGTGGTGAGGGGCCATTGGGGTGTAGGTCGGGGGCAGAGGGAATGGTTGGGGGAAGGTGGGGCCCACACAGGAGGGTGCTGGCTTTGCAGAGGCGTGTGAAACCCTTTCCTGGTACACCCCAGCAGCCGAGCGGCCCACAGACACTGCTCTTTCTGCTGCTCAACCCCGAGGAAGTCTCTCCACGCTGGCCTGGGGGACGGCTGGCCAGGGCCTGCGGCTCCCATCCTACACCCAGCTCCCAGCCAGACTCAGCTCTCTGCCAGCCCAGAGGAGTGGGGGGTGTGTGTGTGTGTGAATGTGTGTGTGTATGTAAGGGAGTGTGTGTGAGCATGTGTGTGAATGCATGTGTGAGTGTGTGATTGTGTGTGTAAGGGAGTGTGTGTAAGCGTGAGTGTGCCAGAGTATGTGTGTGTGAGTGTGTGAATGTGAGAGAGTGTGTGTGAGTGTGTGAGTGTGTGTGTGTGTGTGTGTGTGAGAGTGTGTGTGAGTGTCTGGAGCAAATAGTTCACTTTTTTTAAATATATTAGAAAAAAGTTTCTCATGGAGGCTGTTCCTGGCAGGATGAGGTTTCTCTGGGGTTGAGATGGCATAGCCAGCCCAGGGTCCCCACATCCATGACCTAGATGACGTTCTCAAACAGCTGCATGGAGGTCATGATGTTCTCATCCTGGGTGAAGAGAGGATGGGGGGCCTGGTCAGCCAGCAGGGGGAGGCAGGGGGGATGGCTCTAGTCCAACCTCACCTGGGTACTCTGCACCCTTCAGTGACTGCTGTCTCATTGGGGTGAGACAGGGTGCTGAGGAGCGGAGAGGTCAAGGAGCCTGCCTGGGGCCACCCAGCTGGTAAGGCACAGCCTGCATTCAACCCAGACGTCTGACTCCATGCCTGACAGACGGTAAGACCTCCCTGGCCACACACCCCAAGGGAGGCCACAGGCAACCAGCAGCCGTGCTGGGCGTGAGGCTGGTGGCCGGGGCCAGAGGAGCCCAGTGTCCTGCCCCTGAGAGCAGGCTCTGCACAGCAGGGTCAGCTACAACGCTGGGGGAGGCTTCAGGCACCAGTCCCCCAGCACGGCCCCTTCCCGAGACCGAACCACCCTCCTGCTGGCCCCAATTCTGCCCCCTCTGACTTGAGACCCTGCAATGGCAGGACTGAGAGACAGTGCTTAAGTGGGCTGTGGGCTGGGAGAAGTGGGTGACGGTGGGGTTGGGGAGCAGATGAACTTCACCAAAGAGTTTCACTGAAGCTTGAAGCCGGCTGCTCCAGCCCACCTTGAGGTGGGGAGGGGCCCGGGCATAGCGACAGACAGGTAGGGGCAGACTGGGTGTGTGGGGGCCCTGGGTGGGTAGGAAACCCTCAACCACCCACCTCTGGCCAGGGCTTGCAGAGGATTCTGCTCCAAGCTTTCTGAGGCTGCCTACCTTCTGACAGGTCTCCAGGAACTCGTCCATGGTCACCACCCCATCCTGATTCCGGTCCATTTTCTGCAACACAATCCATACCACGGTGAGTCTGTGGACCAGCAGGGTTGGCATGTTTGTGGGTGGGCAGGGTTGTGGCCAGGTGACGCCCAGCTCCATGCCTCCCACCACAGACACCAAAGTCCCACCGAACTCATCCCCTCAGCCCCTACCCTGGATCCAGGCCACAGGAAAGCCCCTTGAAGGCCAACCTTCACCTCCACTGCTGACTTTCTGGCATCTCCCCGTCTGCCCCCCTCAGACAACTCCCTGACCCCCTACCTGGGCCTGCACTTCTCAGGAGGTGTCCCCATGCTCAGGTGACCCTCTCACTTCCCTGACAGGCAGCGAGGGAGATGGGGCACTGAGGCACAGAACGGCCACACATCTAGAGTTCCCCCAGCAAGTGGGGAGCTGAGCCTTCAGCCCCTTCAACCTGTACCCTCATGGACACAGGACAAAGTCAACTCCCAATCCGCTCCTCCGGCAGGAGTTTCTCTGTAAGAGCTAGAAGCGTCTTGGGGGGCACCAGGACATTGGCCTGGTGGGGGCGGGGGGCAGCCTGCCCCTGAGATGCCGTTCAGCGGAGCTCAGGTGCTGTTTTTAATTCAGGTGATTCTGACAGCCAGCCGGGTTTGGGGTGCAAGTTTAACCTCCTCGCAGGGCAAGGCTTACAGAAGGGAAGTGAGGTTGCCCCGAGAACAAGAGCCCCTTCCTCTACCAGGCGGCCCCCCACCTCCACCCCTGACCGCCCCAGGCTGGAGCGCCCTCACCTGGAAGAACCGCTCCACGTGCTCCAGAGGTGCGTCCTCTCGCAGGATGGGGTAGGTGTGGCGGCCCATCATGTCGTAGATGGACTTCATGATGGCCAGCATCTCCTGGAGGGGCCGGAGGGGCTGGCATGAGGGAGGGCCAGGTTCCCAAGGAGAAGGGGCTGCAGCAGAGGGTGGTGGGCGCTGCCGGGGCAGTGGTTGGGTGGGAGGGGCTGTGCGAGCCAGAGAGAGGAGCACGCACCGGTCCAGGCAGGTCAGCACCAGGCCCCCTGACTCTCCAAGAGAGGGTAGGATAGGTTTTTATGTGCAAGCTTCCAACTTTGAAACAGCAGCAACTATTTCAGATACCAAAAAAGTTTTGGGCCCTGTGTGGCAAGACCTCCGTTCACAGCCCCGGCTTAAGAGGTGCACCCCTTTCCTCTGCTCAGTGGGAGCCAAGGCCAGGCCCTGCTTCTCCAGGGGGTCTCTCTTAGGGTCTCCCCATGAGAAAGGATGATCTAGGAACACTCGTTGAACTGGATTGAGATATGTGGTGAGGGGCAAACACCCAGGTGTCCGGGACCGAGGACATGGGGAAAGGAGGCTGGGAGCCCATGGGCCATCTGTCCCCCAGGGCCAGGCTGGGAGCCACATCTCTGAATGGGTAGGGGAGACAGGACAGACAGGGCTACAGGAGGGAGGAGAGGAAGGGAGTGTGGGGCAACAGGAGGGGGGGAGGGCACGGGCCCGGTACCTCTTTGGTGATGTATCCGTCCTTGTTAATGTCGTACAGATTGAAGGCCCACTTGAGCTTCTCGTGGGCTGTTCCCCGCAGCAGGATGGAGAGGCCGACCACAAAGTCCTGAGGGGAGAAAGGAGGACAGGGAGGGCCTGGAGTAAGAATTCAAAGCCCAGATTCTATTTCCAGTTTGCTATGTGGCTTCCGCTGAAATCTACAGGAGAGGAGCCTCCAAACAGATGAGACAGATGGCAGCCACTCACAAACCCGGTGTGAGTGTGGTGGGGATGGGATAAGGTAGCTGGCATTGATCTTCTCAAACGAAGACTTCTCAATATATGATGTCTTGAACACAGGTAGGAGCCCCATTGGTGCAATGGTTAAGAGCTTGGCTGCTAACCAAAAGGTTGGCAGTTCAAAGCCACCAGCTGCTCCTTGGAAACCCTATGGAGCAGTTTTACTCTGTCCTATAGGGTCGCTATCGACTCGACGGCAGTGGGTTTGGTTTTTGGCTTTTTGAACTCATTTAATGCATCGCTGGTGACAGAGAAGACCTGGAGGCTGCTCTTTTAATAAAGGGGGTGCTCTTCTTTCAGTTTATCAAGAACATGCACATCAAAGGTGGCTGAAAACTCTCCCCCCCTTTTTAAAAAGTTGCACGGACAGTGTTCAACAGTGGGGTCATGGCGTACCTGTGTGTTGGAATCACCTCTGAAGTACGACACAGATAACTTATTATAATGTCACTCATGTGATGAGACACAGATGTTCAAATGGTTTTAATGTGAATACTTGGACTATTTTATTATAACAGTTGTGGAAAGTAAGTCTTTCCCTCACCTCCTGGAAGGTTTGGAGATTAAGCCCTCCATGCCCCATGGGGTCCTCCTGGGCTACTGGGGAGAAAGAGAGTAGAGAAGGGGGTGTCCCAGGGAAGTAGAGGGGAGAGGACAACCAGTCCGCAGAGGGACAGGGTGGTGCACCAAAGGCTCTAGTCCTCACTCAAATATTCGTCAGATTTTCTGGATCTGAGGAGACCTGTACCACAAGAAAGAAAGGCCAAGGGAAACAGAGAAAGCCATTTGGAAGAAACAAAGATTAAGTCAGGAGGAAAGAAAACTTAAAATTATTAGACTCAGAGATTAAAAGTCCTGCATCCCTAAAATAAGGACAGGATGCTACAAAAAAAACGAATAAGTTAGAACAAGAAAGAGCTCTTGGGAATTAAAAACAAGCAAAATGACAAACTCCAAAGAAGGGTTGGAAGAGCAAGCTGAGACATCTTCCATGAAGTAGTAGAGTGAAAAGGCCAAGGGCAGGAAAATAGGAGCGAAAAGAGGAGACGAGAAGAGGTCCCCTCCAGAGGCCCTGATATTGGAACTGCAGGAGTTCCAGGAAGAACCAGGGAACATGGGGAGGAAAGTGTGTCGAAGAAACCATGAAAGAAAATGCCCTACAGTGGAAGGCTGTAAGCTTCCAGGTTCCACTGAGGGCATAGAGCAGTGCAGAACGGTCTGCAGTTCAGCCTGCAGGCACAGGTCATTATGAAACCTCAGAAAACAAAGAGAGGATCCTACGAGCCTTCAGAGAGAACTGGCTGGTAACTGCTGTTTTCCAAAGCAAACTCTGTAAACCTAGTGGGTTCTTGAAGTCATGAATGTATGAACACAAGGGAAGAAATTACACCTTTTTTTTTTAGTATTTTATTGTGGTAAAAATATATGTAAAAAACATTTGCGAATTCCGCATTTCTTACGTGTACTGTTCAGTGACACTGCTCATGTTTACCGTGTTGTGCAGTTATCAACACAATCAGTTTCCAGATCATTCCACCTTCATTAACAGAAGTTCAATGCCTTCTAAGCAAAGACCTCTCATCTTCCCCTCTCTCCTACCCCTGGTTAAACTGCTGTCATTAAGTCAATTCCAACTCATAGAGACTCTATAGGACAGAGAAGAACTGCCCTGTAGGGCTTCCAAGGCCGTAATCTTTATGGAAGCAGACTGCCACATCTTTCTCCCGCGGAGCAGCTGGTGAGTTTGAACCATCGACCTTTTGGTTAGCAGCCAAGCGCTTAATCGCTGTGCCACAAGAGCTCCTTCACCCTCGGTTACCACTAATAAACGTTGGTTTCTAGATATTTGCCTATTCGTGTAAGTGGGGTCATATAATATTTGTCCTTTTGCATCTGACTTATTTCGTTTAGCATGTTTTCAGTGTTCATCCATGTTGTAGTATGTACCAGAACTTCATTTCTGTTTTTGGATGAATAATATTCCATTGCAGGTATGTACTACCTTTTTGCTTATCCCTTCATCCGTTGATGGATGTTCAGGCTGTTTCCACCATTTGGTTACTGAGAATAGAGCTGCAGTGAACATGGGTGTACAGGTTTCTGTTTCGGTTCCTACTTTAAATTCTTTTGTTTATACCCAGGAGTGGAATGGCTGGGTCATATGCTAATTCTCTGTTCAACTTTTGAGGAACTGCTAAACTATTTTCTGAAAATAAAACAATTTTAAAGGAGAAACAATGTGATCTTTCTTACACCTGAGTTTGGGGAATGACAATTACTGAAGCATGCGCATGATTAATAAGTAGCAGAGATTCACAGTTATCCCTAAACTCATGTCACCCCCACTTCCCTGAGGTCTGACAGGCTTTCCCAGGGGGAGGCAAAGGTGTGGAGTCCCACTCGGGGGGTGGGGGTGGGGGTGGGGAGCCCCACACAAGACCCCACCTTCTGGTGTGGACCACTATCTTCTCCATCTTGTCTCCACAGACTGCTTTTTCAGCAGACACGTGCCCGCTGTATCCGGGCCTGTCAGATGGCTCATCTGTCTGCCAGCAACCAAGACATGTCCCCACTCAGCGCCCCTTAGCATGTGAGGGGGGCAGTGAGGCTGTGGGCTTGTGTGGCACACTGTAATGGTGCCAGGAGAGGGGTCCTTCCCTCATCTGTAAAGGTGACACAGAAATGACCCAAGTCCAGCCAGCCCATGTCCAAGTGTACGCTATTTCTAAATTCCTGGGCTGCACACAGCAATTTCACTGTGTGACAACTGCTTGTGTTCACAGAGCCTACCATCCACACTGCCCACAGGGCCCCTGGAACTGGCCCAGCCTCTGCCCTGTGACTATGCTCGAGGCAGGGCCCAGGGAGAGTGAGGAACTCCTGCAGTGACACAGTGAGACCTCGGTTTCCCTGCTAGGACACCCCAAAGTGCATACGGGAGGCGCCCGGTGGAGCCGAGAGCAGATCAATGACTGAAGTGGATGTGGTGCTGGTTATCACGTGGATGCAGGGAAATCATTCCTTCTGCTTGCTGCCCTCACCCTGGTGGATGGAAGCTCTGCCTTGGTCACTGGGCACCGGGGAGGGTGCAGCAGGAGAGGGCCGAGGGGCAGCCACACCCTCCTCCACACATGTGCCTGGCCGCCACTGGGCAGCCTGGCTTTATCCTGGGCACTGAAAAGGCACCAACATTCCACATTCTCTTTATTCACAGTCGCTGTGTTCTACAAAGTCCCTGCAAACAGTGGATTAGAAAACACTCAGCCACTGCTCCCGGGGAAACACAGGGTTAAGTTCCTGCAAGCCTCTGGTCACAACATAACCTCGCTGTATGTGTGTTTCTGTTTAAAAACACCTTATTTAATATGTACTGTGGATTAATTAACATTGAACTCTCGGTCAATGGCACTGTACCTCGTGCCTGAACGAAGCTCATCTAATACGCATTTTCCCCATGAGGCACGTCACAGCCTGCTTACGCTCAGGGACGCTAGAAGGCACTTCAGCGCTGCTCTTGGGGGCCACTTTAAACAGCAAAATCATCCACAAAGAGAACCAAAGTGCAAAAAACGTAGCACTAACTAGACGGTGAAAAGGACGCTTGTTTACAGTGTGAGCCTTGTTCGAGCTCAGCTGGGAACACACACACCAGGCAATTCAAATTTCTCCCCGCTCTGCACATGTCCGTCAATGACAACCAAGAGCCGTGCGGGCTGACTTGTGGGCGGGGTGGCGGGGTGGGGAGGTTACAAGTAAATGTTAGTGAGCAGACGGATTTGCACGTGCAGAACCTGCACGTGATGGGGGACAACTGTAATGACTTTTTAAACTCGACACCTAGTTGGTAAGACGAACTGGCTGAATTAGAAAGGCCCTGGGTGGCACGGAGCGGTGACAAGGCACATCTGTATGTGGCATCGTCCCACTCAGGCAGAGGGAGGGCCGACGCCAGGCTCCCTGCTGTTCAGATCCCGGGGTTCCCTGAGGATGAGCAGGAGCCAGACCCTGAGGCGTGACACGGGCACTTGTCTGCAGCTCAGCTCCTGGGAGGTTTGCTTGTCTTGCTTTTGACTTTTGGTACTCATTCTTGGTGAGGGGAGGGATCTTACCATATTTTACCATGTAAGTAAACTAATTAATATGTGTTTTAATCTCTCAGTAATATATAAAAAGGATTAGGATCACTGTAAATCATGATGCGCAGACTTTCCTTTCTGATTTAAGAGCCCGTTGGAAGGCTCTGAGGCCTGGCAATGATGAACGGCTGAGCATCCTTGGACGCTTCCAGACACACCCAGGGCCAGGTTTTGGGCCCCTATCCCAAGGCAGAGGAGTCCCTGGGTGGTGCAAATGGTTAAGCACTCAGCTACTAACTGAAAGGTTGGCGGTGTGAATCCACCCAAAGGTGCCTCAGAAGAAAGGCCTGGTGATTCACTTCTGACAGATCACAGCCACGGAAAACTCTATGGTGCGATTCTACTCTGACACACATGGGGTGGCCATGAGTCGGAAGTGACTAGACAGCAATGGGTTTTGTTTTGTTTTTTTCCCCCAAGGCAGCCTCCTTCCTGACCACTGGGATCCCCACCTCTGCTGAGCTGGGGATAGGGCTGAGCTGGTTAGGGGGTCCCGGGAAGATAGGGCCCTTCTCCTTTCGGGGAAGAAGGGCTATTGTAGAACCAAAAAAAAAAAAAAAAAAAAATCAACAAAACCTGTTGCTGTTGAGCCCATTCCAACCCTAAGTGACAATACAGGACAGAAGACAACTGCCCTGCAGGGTCTCCGAGGCTGTGATCTTTACAGAAGTGGACGGCCAGCATCTTTCTCCCGTGGGGAAAGCTGGTGGGTGTGAAGCCTCGACCTTTCTGTTAGCAGCCGAGCGCTTAACCACTGCACCATCAAGGCTCCTTTACTGTAGCACAGAGCACTTGAAATCCGTAAATTCCTCAAGGTAAACAGATAGGTATGATTCCAGGGGCAGATTAACCAGTGAGCATGGTATGCACTGGCTTGCACTGAGCAAGTTACGCACAGGCGTAATTGTATTTACTTGCTCATCAGTGGTGAGCAACTTCCCATGGATTTCACCGCGTCTTTGACGGGGTGGGGACAGGTGAAATTGTGCACTGAGGATCGGTGGGAAGGCCCAAGTGGGCCCGGGCAGACCTGGCTTATTGGGTAATCGGCCCTGGGTATGAAGTCAGAGTAAATTCATGTGCAGAGAAGCACGTGGGAAGTCCTGGGATATGCCTTTGTGACAACCCCCAGGCCGGGAATGAACGATCTTCTGAGATGGCGCCTAGCAGAGGGCTCCCAACTCAGCCACTGACAGCACCCCTTCCCCCAAGACCTCACCATCTACCACGTTAAAGGGGCCATAGACCTCCTCTCTGTCGGTAGTGAAGCAACAACCACAAGGAGGGTGAGGAGGGTGAGCAGGGTGACAGACATTCCCGAGCTTTGTGCAACTATGAAATCATATAATCTCTGAACTTCATGCCCATTAAGCTAGCTACGATTTAAAAAATGGAAAACTACAGGTGTGGGCGAGATGTGGAGAACTTGGAACCCTCCTCCATTGCTGGTGGGACTGTAAAATGGTGCAGCCACTGTGGAAAACAGTTTGGAGTTTCCTCGAAAAGTTAAACATAGAATTACCATATGATCCAGCAATTCTACTCCTAAGTATATACCCTAAAGAACTGAAAGCAGGAACGCCAACAGACACCTGTACACCAAGGCTCACTGCAGCACTAATCACAAGAGCCAAAAGACGGAATCAGCCCAAAGGTCCATCAACAGATGAACGGATAAACAGAATGTGGTACCTACATACAGCGGAATACTACTCAGTATAAAGAGGAGTCAGGTCCTGATACATGCCACAGTATGTGGCTTAGTTATCTGTGCTGTTGTAACAGAAGTACTATACATTTCTGCTTTAACAAACAGAAATTTATTTTCTCACAGTTTAGGAGGCTAGAAATCCAAATTCAGAGCTCGAGCTCCAGGGGAAGGCTTTCTCTCTCTGTCGGCTCTGGAGGAAGGTCCTTGTCTCCAGCTTCTACTCCTGGTTCCTTGGAGATCTCCATGTGTCTTGGCATCTGTCTTACCCCATCTCTCTCTGCTCGCTTGTTTAATCTCTTTTATATCTCAAAAGAGACTGACTCAAGGTACACCCTACACTAATCCCGCCTCATTAACATAACAAAGAAAACCCATTCCCAAATGGGATTATAACTACGGGTATGGAGGTTAGGATTTACAACACATAGTTTTGGGGGACATAATTCAATCCATAACAACGTGGATGAAACTTGAAAACATTATGCTGAGTGAAATAAGTCAGTCACAAAGGGAAAAATATTGTATAATCCCACCTATAGGAAATGTTTAGATTAGGCAGGTGTTACCGGGGGCAGGAGTTATTGCTGTTAGGGCCTGTCGGGTTGGTTCCGACTCATAGCATCCTTACGCATAGCACAACGAAACACTGCCCCTCACGACCGTTGCTGTCTTTGAGCCCATTGTTGCAGCCACTGTGTCAATCCATTCATTGAGGGTCTTCTTCTTTTTCGCTGACCCCCCTGCTTTAGCAAGCACGATGTCTTTTTCCAGGCACTGGACCCTCCCGATAACATGTCCAAAGTAAGTGAGACGAAGTCTCGACGTCCTCACTTCTAAGGAGCATTCTGGCTGTACTTCTTCCTAGACAAATTTGTCTGTTCTTCTGGCGGCCCATGGGATATCCGATATTCTTCACCAACACCATCATTCAAAGGCATCAGTTCTTCTTCGGTCTTCCTTATTCATCGTCCAGCTTTGACTAAAGGACGAGAGGGAGGGGGAAAGAGGGCTCGCAGCTTAGGGAACACTGAGCTTCTGTAAGGGTGATGGAAAAACTTGGAAACAGATAAGGGTGATGATTGCTCAGTGTGGTGACGTAACTAACATCACTTGACTGTACACGTGAAGGTTGCTGAAATGACACGTTTTCTTAGATACATATTTACCATAATAAACTAAGAAAATCAAAAACAGGAACTACCAAAGGAGACCCTGGCGGGCCCATTCCACTGGATTCCTTCACACACTGTATTCCCCGAAGTCTCAGGGCCTCTTAAAAGCACACAAGCAAGTGGTCACAGGGCAGGGACGGGCAGGGCAGTGTGTTTTCACCCCTAACTCCTTTGAACCGACTGGACTTTTCACCGCGGGCAAGCGTCACTTACAATAAAAACTATGAAACCGCTGTAGGTTGACAAAGAAATAGCCTTAATCGTGGGCCCAGACGGCTGGGGCTGCAGTCAGAGATCGGGGGCCTGGGCTGCGCCTGCCCTGCCCGCCCGCGTGCTCGCAACATAAAAATAACCCGGCGGCATTATTGACTGGTTATTATTACACCACAGATCGCCAGGGCCCCCGCTGCTTTCCTGTCAGCCGCCCTTGACCCTGGAAGCTGAGCTGGGTGGGATATCGATCCGGCCTGCTCTTGCCAAGGTTTTCCTCTCTGAAGAGGTTTCAGCTTTTGGTCTGCAGCTATTTTTAGGTGCCTGGGCTCCACAGCTGGGGGCGTCTCTCCAGTGATCCTGTGTGGCCAGGTCTGGGTGGAGATATGACGGTACCAGCACGGAGAACCCCGGGCAAAGCCTCTGCTGTCTCCTGGGGCCCGGATTCTCCTTCCTGACAGGGGACACCTGGCTTTGCTGACCGGGCCCAGCTGGGGGACCCCCTGCAGCCTGCACGCCCTGGGATGCTCTGCCTGTTTGGGGGCTAGGGCGTAAATTCTGGGCTGGAAGCCTGAAATCCCACCACTAGCAAGCCTCGCCTTTGAGTTAAACCTTGCCTCCTTTTAAAATGCAAATTCGCCTTGGGTGACTAACACCTCAGTGTGCAGCTCCCTTTGCTGGGCGGGGCTGGACGCAAATGCTTAGAATGGAAGAAAAGGCCGAGATGGGGTGACGGGACAGCAAAACCGAACATCACTAGCTCCACAGTCAGGCCCGGGGCCAGCCCAGCACCATCCACTCATGCCCCGGGGAACACACTTGACAGTCTACACCCAGGATCCTGTCTAAGCCTCTCAGGGGTGGTGGGCAGGCAGCTCCCCCAGGCCCTGCCCTCCAGGAGCCAGCAGGCCGCAGGGGCAGGGGACGCGGAGGGGTCAGCAGGGACCTACCTCGAAGTGGATGGCCCCATTCCCGTCAGCATCGAAGGCGTTGAAGAGGAAGTGTGCATACGTGGTGGCATCTGGGGAGAGTGAGGGCAAGGGCTGGGTGCATCCGGGCCTCCTGGCAGCCCTTGCCCCTACCCGGGAGCCCACCTGGGCCAGAGCAGCTTTGTCCTGAGTGAGAGTCCTCCCTTCCAGTGGGACAAGGGCAGCACCAGGTGTCCGAAGGGCAATGGCATCGGGGAGGGCAGGGCTGGAGCTGAGGCCCCCTCCCTGCCCTGTGTCCCAGGGTAGAAGGGATGCCCACCCACTGCAGATCTGCCACACTGTAGGGGCTTCCAGGGGGGCCACAGGGGCCTGGTTGCAGACTCACCTCCCTGAGGAAAGAACTGTGAGTAAATGAGCTTGAAGGTGTCTTCATCCACCAGGCCTGTGGGACACTCCTGCAGCAGGAAGTCAAGCATCAGTGACCTTGGCCTCCAGGCCCCACCCCAGTGCCCGGACTCTGCAGACCCCAGCCTCGCTCCTCCCTCTGGGGGAGCCTCCCACTGGGAAAGGCCTGGGGGTCGGGGTGAGAGCAGGCGAGAGGCAGAAAGCGGGGAGATAGGAAGGGGAAGGCTGGCCCCTCACGCCAAGCGGGTCCCTCTGGGCTGTCACCCCCTTTGCCAGCATCAGAGACACCGGGCAGGGAGCACGGGCCTCCAGAGACCAATCTGGGGCTTATCCCAGCCCCAGTGGGCTCCCCAACAACAGGCTCTGGGATGTTCACTCTGCCTAAACCCTGGTGGTGCAGTGGTTAAGAGTTTGGCTGCTAACCAAAAGGTCGGCAGTTTGAATCCACCAGGCGCTCCTTGAAACCTCTATGGGACAGTTCTACTCTGTCCTATAGGGTCACTATGAGTCGGAATCGACTCAGTAGCAATGGGTTTGGGGTTTTTTTTTTTTTTTTTTGGAGGTATCTAGAGGCTCCCTCTTGGGGTCTTCGGGGCCCCCCGGGGTTTTTACCGGGGGCACTCACGTTCTTGAAACCCCTGTAGAGGGACTGCAGCTCCTTCTTGGTGAACTTGGTGTGTGCCTGCAGCTGGTCCAGCCCCTCTGGCTGGTGGCGGACTGTGGACAGCTCCAGCTCACTGTCGCTGCTGTCTGCGGGGACACAGACCCGGGAGGCTGGGACAACGGCCCCTCCCCCACTCACCCCAGTGTGGATGGCTGAAGGAGGGGAGGGGGCCTTTCTTGGTGATGACCACATCCGGCCACGCAGGCCGTGCGCGAGGCAGATGGAGGGGCTGTGTGGGAGCAGCACCCCCCCAGCAGCTGTGCCTCTCGGCCACCCTGGTTCCCTGCTCCTCACACAGAGAGGACCCTCCCCACTCATCTCAATAGTGCCCAACCCCAAAGGCACGTGGCAGGATGGGGGTGAGAGCTGGTCCTGTCCTAGAGAGAGAGAAACTGGGGAGGCGGGAGGGCAAAAGACAGCAGACAGGTGCAAGGGGCCCTTGAGCTTAAAGACCCAACTGCCAGGCCACCTCCTGTGGGCAGCCCACCCTGACTTCCCCTGAAGTGAGGAGGGCCCACCTCTTGACCTATGGCAGCCTTTAAAAAACCCAGTTGCCCCAGAGTCAGCCCCAACTCACAGCAACCCCACGCGTGTGAGAGCAGAATGGACTCCATAGGGCTTTAAATGGCTGATGTTTCAGAAGCAGATCACCAGGCCTTTCTTCTGAGGTGCCCCTAGGTGGACCTGAACCTCCAAGCTTTTGGCTAGCACGGATCGATGTTAGAAACACGGTGCTTACTTCAATTAAAAGGTAGGCATTCCGGAATGCATGAAAAAATAAGACCCAACGATATGTTGTTTGGAGCCCTGGTGGCACAGGGGTTAAGAGCTTGGCTGCTAACCAAAAGGTCAGCAGTTCCAATCCACCACCTGCTCCTTAGAAATCCTATGGGGCAGTTCTACTCTGTCCTATAGGGTTGTTATGAGTCAGAATCAACTCGATGGCGATGGGTAATATGTTGTTTATGGAGCCCCTGGGTGGTACAAACAGTTAATGTGCTTGGCTGCTAATTAAAAGGTTGGTGGTTCCAGTCCACCCAGAGACACTTTGGAAGAAAGCCCTGGTGATCGACTTCTGAAAAATCAGCCATTGAAAATTCCATGGAGCACAGTTCTACTCTGACACACACGGGGTCGCCATGAGTCAGAAATGACTCTATGGCAACTGTTATTTTTATTTTTGTATGCTATTTACAAAGAAACATACCCTTAATACAAAGACACAGATGGATTTAAAGTAAAAGGGTTGGAAAAGCATAAGAAAGCTGGAGTGGCTATATTAATAATAAAAAAATGTAGACCTCAAGACAAAGAGTATTACTAGAGACAAAGAGGCACATTTCATAATGATACAAAGATTAATTCATCAAGAAGAGATAAAAATCTGAAATGTATACAAACCTAATAATAGAGTTTTAAAATACTCAAAGCATTAAAAATTAAGAACTACAGGGAAAAAAAAAGATAAATCCACAACCATAGTTGAAGACTTTAACATCCTTTTCTCAGTAAATAATATAAGCAGAGATACAAAAGATTTGAAAAGCCATCAGCCAATTTGACCTAATGGATATTTATAGAAGTCCATACCCAACCATTGTAGATGACATATTTTTTTCAAGAACACATGCTACTGTTACCAAGATACACCAGATGCTGGGCCACAACACAAGACCCTGACTACAGCAGTGTTAAAATAAAAACAAAACCAATAAGATATCTAGAAAATCCCAAATATTTGGAAATCAAAGAAAACACTTTTAATTAATTCCTAGGTCAGAAAAGAAAGATCACAAGAGGATTTAAAAATAATGTGTAATTAATTATAATGAAAACATAGCATACAAAAATTTGCTGGAGGCAGGTACAGCCGTGCTTAGAGGAAAATTTATAGCTTTAAATTCCTTTAGTAGAAGGTACAAAACCAATGATTTAAGCTTCTGTCTTCAGAATCTAGAAAAAGAAGAGCAAATTAAGCCCCAAGTAAATAGAAGAAAGGACACAGAATAGGCAAGCCATAGACTGGGAAACATACCTGTAGTACATATATCTGACAAAAGATTTATTTCCAGAATATATAAAGAACTCCTACAAATCAATGATAATAAGACTAACAACTCAATTTAAAAAAATAGGCAAAAGACTAGAGCACTTTACAGAAGGAGATACACAAGTGGCCAAATGTGGAAAATGATGGAAATCAAAAGACAATAGCACATTATCTGTAAACTGTCAGAAGAGAAAGAAATCTGTCAACCTAGAATTTTGTATTCAATGAAAGGAAGGTATTTTCAGATAAATAAATGCTAGAGAATTTGCTGCCAGCAGACCTGTATTATAAGAAATACTAAAGAAATTCTTCAGGATGAAGGGATATGATACCAAAAGGAGATCCAGATCTGCAGAAAACTAACAGGAATAGTTTGAACTAAATGCATGTGAAAATATAGCACATCAAAATGTGTTGGATGCAGCTAAATCAGTAGTTACAGAAAACTTTAAACCATTGAATGTTTACTTTAGAAAAGAATAAGTTTTAAATAAATAATCTAGGGTTCCACCTTAAGAAACTAGACATAGCAGAGTAAAATAAACCCAAAAGCAAGCAGAAGGAAGAAAACAGAACAAGAGCAGCGATCAATGAAATTGGAAAACAGAAAAAATAGAGAATCTTAATGAACCCAAAAGATGGTTCTTAGAAGACATCAGTAAAATTGCTAAAACTCTAGTAAGTAAGATCGACAAAGAAAAAAGAAGAAAAGACACAAATTACCAATATCAGGAATGAAACAGGAAATAACTATAGCCCTCAGGATATTAAAAGAATAAAAAGGAAATGAATAAAAATGAACAAGTCTTTGCACATAAATTCAACTACTTAAATGAAATAGATCAATTCCTCAAAAATCACAAACTACTCAAACTACCAACCCAGTATGAAATATATAAACTGAATAGTCCTAATAAATATCCCTCATGAACATAGATGTAAAAATTTTCAACAAAATACAAGCAAACTGAATGGATTGATGTATAAAAATAATAATACACTACACCAAGTGGGGCTTTCTTGGGATGCAAGGCTGATCAAATATTTGAAAATAAATCAACATAACCCACCATATTAATAGTCTGAAGGAAAAAAATAAAAACAACACACGATCCTATCAACTGATGTGGAAAAAGCATTTGACAAAACTCAACATCAATTCATGATAAAGATCCTCAGTAAACCAGGAATAGAAGGGAACTTCCTTAGCCCTAGTGGCACGGTGGTTAAGAGCTCAGCTGCTAACCAAAAGGTCAGCAGTTTGAATCCACCAGCCGCTCCTTGGAAACGCTATGGGGCAGTTCTGCTCTGTCCTATAGGGTCTCTATAAGTCAGAATCCACTCAAGGGCAATAGGTTCCTTAACTTGATAAAGGACATCTATAAAACCCCATAGCTAACATCGTACTTAACACTGAAAGACTGTACGTTTTCCTCCTAACATTGGCAACAAGGCAAAAATGTTCTCTCCGCTCCTATTCAACATCATAGTGGAAGTCCTAGCCAGTGCAATAAGGCAAGAAAAAGAAATAAAAGGCGTACAGATTACAAAGGAAAAGTTAAAGTGGCCCTATTCGCAGATGACATGATTGTCAATGTAGATAATCCCAAGAAATCTACAAAAAAACCTCTAATAACTGAGTTCAGCAAGGTCACAGGGTACAAAGTCAATACACAAAAATTAATCACATTTTGATAGGCCAGCAATGTACAAATGGAAACCAAAATTTAAAAAACAATAGTATTTAAAACAGCTCCCCCTACAAATGAAATTCCTAGGTATACATATGACAAAACATACCTATAATCTGTGTGCTAAGGACCAAATGCTGATGAAAGATCAAAGGAGACCTAAATAAGTGAAGAGATGCGCCATGTTCATGGACCTGAAGACTCGAGATCGTAAAGATCTCCAAAATGATCTACAGATTCAGCACAATTCCTGTAAAAACTCCAGCAGGGTTTTTTTTTTTTTTTTTGTAGATATAGACAAGCTGATTCTAAAATTTATATGGAAAGGCAAAAAAAAGAATAGCTAGAACAAATTTGTAAAAGAGAAGTAAAGCAGAAGGAATCAGTCTATGGACAAGATAAAATTAAAGGGAGGGAGAACAGGTCAGTGGCTGCCAGGGGCTGGGGCATGAGGGAAGGGTTGACCACAAAAAGGGGCAACATGAGGGAATTTTTTGAGGTGATAGAACTATTCTGTATCTTGGTTGTGGTAATGGTTACATGACTATGTATTTGTCAACTTTCATAGAATTAGACACCAAAAAAAGGTGCCCTTGACTGTATATAAATTAAAAAGAATAAAAATCAAATTAAAAATTAGAATAACTGCCTAGAGAGGAGGAGGAAAGTGAAGGAATAAAGGAGAAAAAATAAATATATAAAACAAGAGAGGAGTTCTAAATGGGTCAGTGTTATAATATCCCATGAACTAAAAAATATGATTAACTTAATCCTCTGCCTCTGAGGACCAAAAAACAAAACTAAACAAAAATTCCAAATCTGCTGCTATTTCTTCCGTTAGAAACAAAAAACCTTTCTTGCCCCCATTTCTCCTCAAGCTGTTGCCTTGTTTTCTCCTTTCTTACACTCACTCTGCTTTTTTCCCTTGAACTTACTCCCAGGGGCACCTGCCCCACCACTCCACCCAAACTGCTCTTAAAAGGATGACCAGTGATCTCCACCCTGAGCAACCAGTGAGCAATACAATAATCTTCACTTCAAAATCATATAAAACCAAACCAAAAAACCTGCCACCATCAAGTTGATTCCAACTCAGAGCAACCCTAGAGGACAGACTAGAATTGTGCCATTGGGTTTCCAAGGAGCAGCTGGTGGATTCTAGCTGCCAAACTTTTGGTTAACAGACATATAAGGGCAACACAAAAATGAAAATTATATGCCCATTTCACTTTTGAACATAGATGCAAAACCTTAAACCAAATGTTAGCTAACTGAATTCAACTGTATTTTTTTTTTAAGTGCACCAAGGTCAAGAAGCCTTTATCATTAAGGGCACAGGGAGAAG